ATGAGAAACAGGAGAAATAAATAGTATTATGATGAGAAAATGTGTTCTTTTGTCTCAGGAGGATATTGAGGGTTCCCAGGGGTTTTCAGAGGGCAGCCTTTGTCAGAGGGTCTCTGACAATTGGACAGGGAGAGACAGAGCTGCCTGCAAATGTCTGGGACGTGAGGCCAAGAGATTTCCCACTACTAAGAGAGCATTCTGGTATTCACAAAGGTGATTTTCCAGGCCACAAAGTCTTCAGAACAAAAATGGACTCTTTTGGGCAGACAGACCCTGGCAAATTCAACAGCTGGTCTCAATATGAGATTGCTTTGGGAAAGGAAACTTATGGCAGGCTCTGCAAAGTGATCTGCTGATTGTTGGGGCTTTAATCTCTGTAAATAACCTTTTCCTCTGCCTTTTTAAGGCATGGGGAGAAGATTCCCATCTCCTCTCTCCTATAAAGATGTCAGGTCAAAGAACATATCTGTGAGAGAAGCAGGAATACTGGGTGCACATGTTCCTTTAGATCTTCCTCTTCTACATCCATCCCTGTGCCCTCTTATTCACCTTTTTATGAAGTATCAGATTCAGGATTAAAAAGGTCATGGACAAGGGGACATTAGGCTTTTTCTTTCAAGCAGAACAAGCTTTATATTTTCATCCAGGCCAGACAGAGGATCAATTTGTGGCAGAAAACAAAGTTCATTAATGGGAACACTGCAGATAGTGGGAGCCAGCCTAGGAGGACATTTGATGCCAGATCACTGCAAGGCAGTAATGAGGGAGGAAGAAGGAGGGGAGAAGGGAAGACAGCAGGAGGTTTTCTTTCCAGTCACGCTGCCTTATATCCCACTCTGCCTCTGCTCCTGCAGGTCCTGCTCCAGTGTGTCCAACACCCCGTGCACTTCTCCCAGTGCTCCTCTGAGGGGTTCTCAGCCATTCATCCCCGGGAGCTGGCCCAAACCAGGCTGTAAATGTGCTCAGCTTTTCTGGCAATGCTTCAGAATAAATGGCAAACCCTTTCTGCAGCTCCTTTCCATTGTAGTATTAATCAAACTGAATTCCTGTGGTGCTCATATGGATGTCATATGTAAATCCCACTGCTCATTCCAAATTAAAGCCAACAGAGAAATTTCGCTCCTGTCTTCATCCTGCAGCTCTGAGCTCTTGTGCACTTACTCCATTCATGAAATCCTGATTACTGTGGACATGAGGGAATACTGGAGTTGATGACACCCATGAGGAGTGTTGGTAATGCTCATGAATTTATAGAGAAGGTGCTCAGGTGCAAGGCTGAAGCAAATTTACTTCCATGTCCTACCTCAACCAAGTACTCCACATCTTAAAACAGAAGCCCTCAGCAGCATTTCAAACTGTCCATCCCTCAGTGTAAATATTTCAGAACAAGAGGTTTTCCAGGCCAGTGCTGGCCATCAGCAGCACTGAGGAGGTTTCTCAGCATTAGAAACCTCCAAACAGCAGCTCTGGAACAATTTAAAATAGTTTTCTCCCCCACTATTAGAAATCCCACCCTGTTTCTCCCCCACTATTTGAAATCCCACCCAGTACTCCATACTGATGGAGTGGTTTTGGTTTTTTTTTTTTGGTTTTTTGTTTGTTTGTTTGTTTGTTTTTGTAGTGAGAGACAGGCAAATACAGGTTTATTTTGCTCTGAGAGTCCTGACCCCTCTTTTCTGCCCTTGAGAAGGGGGTCAAAGAGCTGTGGACAAATTGCTGGACCCCAGAAGTTAGCTGCTGATCAGGCAGAAGCTCCTTTGGCCTTGGGTGGGACTTTCAGCCTTGCACATGCTGAAACAAGTCCAGCATCTGAACCAGGACAGCGTGAGCACCTACAGGGCGTCCCTTGCCTTCAGTCCAGCCATGGGTTCTGGTCCCTTGGGAGCACTGCAGCCTTCAGCCCATCAGAGCGATGCCATTCACTTCCCCAGAGGAAAAGGGAGGAACACAGGAAGGGGCTGAGGCGGTTCCAGCCCTTCCTGCAAGGCTGGTACTGGTGGGGAGGTCCCACCCCGGAGCCATTGCCCGCCCTGTGCCTCCCTGGCTGGCACCAGGCTTGGCAGCAGGCAGTGCCCAGCTCTGGCCCCTCAGTTCAGGAAGGACATTGAGATGTTTGAGCACATCCAGAGGAGGCAATGAGGCTGGAGAGGGGCTGGGAACACAAGCCCTGCAAGGAACGTTTGAGGGAGTTGGGGTTGTTCAGCCTGGAGAAGAGGAGGCTCAGAGGTGACCTCATTGCTCTCCACAGCTCCTGAAGGGAGGCTGCAGACAGGTGGGGTCGGTCTGTTCCACCAGGCAGCACTGACAGAACAAGAGGACACAGCCTCAAGCTTTGTCAGGGAAGGTTTAGGTTGGATATTAGGAAAAAAATTTTCACTGAAAGAATAATAAAATACTGAAATTGTCTTCCTAGGGAGGTGGTGGAATCACCATCTCTGGATATGTTTAAAAAAAACCTGGACTTGGCACTTGGTGCTATAGTCTAGTTGTGGTGTTAGGGCACAGGTTGGACTTGATGATCTTAGAGGTCTCTTCCAACCTCATTATTCTGTAATTCTGTGATTCAGTGAGCAGATGAATCATGGCTTGGCCTTCTCTCTGTCACAGATAACAAAGCCACTCACTGCAGGAAGCCACAGATATCTCAGAGCTTTCCAGGAACAACCTTTCCAGACTCCACCAAGCCCTGTCCACACCACGGGAGTTTCCTTCTGATCTTCTTTTGACCTAAACCACTCAAGCCTCCAATGTAATCTTCCAGAACAAGAAATCATTCAGGGGGAGACTCCTACATTAGCCGTGTATGCTACACGTAGTTTGGAAATTGTTCAGGTGCTTTCTCCCTGAGAAGACGTGTCACACATGTCTGTGTCACTCCAAAGGTATGTAGGAAAACATACAGGAAAATACATTAGGAAAAAACTCTTCTCTGTGAGGGTGGTGAGGCCCTGACACAGGTTGTCCAGAGAGGGCAACTCCCTGGAAGTGTCCAAGGCCAGGTTGGAGAGGGTTTGGAGCAATCTGGGACAGTGGAAGGTGTCCCTGCTAATGGCAAAGAGGTGGCACTGGGACATCTTTTCCTTTTCCAACCCAAATCATTCCATGATTCTATGATGTACCCAGTGCCCCACTGAAATACCTGGGTCATGAAACCCAGGTCTACCCCCAGAGGTCCTTTAGACTCACTGACCACTCACTTGAGGATCTTAAAGGATGTGAACTGAATCTCCAGACCACAAGAATCACTGATTGCTTGGGTTGAAAAGCCATCTAAGATCAAATCCAATCAGGTACCCTGGCACTGCCAAGGCCACCACTCACCCATGTCCCCAAGTCTCACATCTATGTGTCTTAAATACTTCCAGCAACTCCACCACTGCCCTAGGCAGCCTGTGCCAGGGCTGGACAACCCTTTCCATGGAGAATTTTTCTCACTATCCAATCTAAACCTCCCGTGGCACAACTTGAGGCTGTTTCCTCTTGTACTGTCACTTTGTTACCTGGGAGTTCTCAAGATAAGGAGTGACAGAGCAGGGCTTTGGGGTACCATGTGTAGGCTCTAGTTGTTCTACAGGACAGAGAAGGTCCCCAGTGAGGTCCGTCTCTGGTCAGGACACAGCACCAAGGATGCTCTTGGGGTCAGCTTGCACAGATAGAACCTGGAGATGGTACGGGAAGGTAATGAGGTACAACAGTGGCACAAGGGATCCTTTTATCTTTAGGGCTCCTTTAGGGAGTCACAGGGGTCTTAGTCTGGGGGAAATTTGGGGACACTGAGTCCCCAAATACATCTGTACATCTGTGGTGTCTCTGGCTGGGATGGCACTGCAGGGAGAGCTCCTGCCCAGGCTGGCAGGAAAGGGAATATCTGGGGATTGCCTGTCCCCAGCGTTTGGCTGTGCTGCATGGAGCCCATGCCAGTCCTGGCTGTCCCGTGGGGAGACAGACAAGGATGGACATCACTCTGCAGTGCCCAGGGGGTCTCTGGTGGGAACAGGGGTCCAGCAGGTCACAGTGGGGTTCTGCTATGCCCAAAGGGTCCTGTCTGGGCACGGGGCACCCACTCCCAGGTGTGGAGACCATGGGAGGGATCTGCCCTGTGCCCATGTGGGTGGGCATGGGAGGTCTATGCCAAGGCTGAGGCTCACAGGAGGAGCAAGTCCTGTCCTGTCCCAAGGGTCCAGGGATGGCACAGGGGAGTCTGTCCCCAGGCTGGGGCTCACTGTGGGGGTCTGCCCTGTCCCCAAAGGGTCCAGGGATGGCACAAGAGAGTCTGTCCCCAGGCTGGGGCTCACAGTGGGGCTCTGTCCCCATCCCCAAAGTACCAGGGATAGCAGAGGGGAGTCTGTTCCCAGGCTGGGGCTCGCAGTGGGGGTCTGCCCTGTCCCCAAAGGGTCCGGGGAGGGAAGGAGAGGGCTGTCCCCAGGCTGAAGACCATGGGCGGTGGTCTGTCCTTTGCCTGGGGGGTCCCTTGAGGGCACTGGGGGTCCTCCCCAGGCACGGTGAGGACACCGCGGGTCTGCCCCGTGCCCACAGCGCGGGTGGGGACGGGGGTCTGTCCCTGCGTGAGCCCGGTCCCAGCGGGGCGCAGCGACGGTGGGGGGTTCGTGAGGGCCGGGCGAGCGGAGCCGAACCGAACCGAGCCGAGCCGAGCCGAGCCGACTGGAACCGAGCCGAGCCGAGCCGACGGGAGCAGAGCCGACTGCAGCCGACCGCAGCCGAGCTGAGCCGAGCCGGGACGAGCCGAAGCAGCCGAGACCGAGCGGAGCCGAGTCTTGCCCGAGCCCGAGCCGAGCGGTGCCGAAGCAGAGAGGAGCCGTGCCGAGACACGCCGAGCCGAGCCGAACGCAGCCGAACCCCAGCGAGCCGAGCCGAGTGGAGCCTCTCCGAGCCCCGGCCGATCAGCCGCCGAAGCCCCGGCGCTGGCCGGAGCCGTCCCGCGGCGGGGGCGGCGCGGAGCCGGGCCGGGCCGGGCCGGGCCGGGCCGCCGGTCCCTCCTCCCCGCTCCCCCGCCGCTCCCCCTTCGCTCCTTCCCGTTCCCTCCCGTTCCCTCCCCGCCTCCCTGCGCAGCGCGAACATGGCGGCGGCGGCGGCGGCGAGGGACTGAGCAGCGCCAGCGCTCGGCGGCCGCGCAGGTGAGGGGCGGC